TTGCTATTTTATTTAGAGTAGTCAAAGAACACCTCCCAAAAGTAAGGTGGTATCTGACAAAAGACTGGAAGTAAGGGACTGGCTTATGTAGGCACAGAGAGTAGTCAAACAAGTCCTGAGGCAGAGACGTTTGGCACATATGAGAAAAGGTAAGGTTACCAGAGAAGGGTCCCCTGAAGAGAGATTGGGGATAGTTAGGAAAGATCCTGCATGACCTTAGATCATTGATTTTGTTCTTGTTTGTTCACTACTGCTATGGCCCACTCTGGCCTGGGGGTGGCCTTGAACTTCTGATCTTCTTGCCTCCACCTCCCCAGTGCTGGGATTACAGGTGTGTGACATAATGTCTGGTTTATGTGGTAATGGTGATGGTAACCAGCACTTTATGCATACAGGGCAAGCAATGTACCAACTGAACTATATCCACAGTCCCCTGGTAGGTCATTGTAAGAGCTCTGGTTCTTCATCTGAGGGAGACAAAGATGATGTGACACACATTATTGAAAGATTTGCAATGGTGCAACAAGCTTTAAGATATTCTTACAAATATCTCCACTCACATGAGTGACTCAGTCCTGCTTTAATGTACCATTATAGGAACTTTGCTTTTTATGTTTATAGCTCAGCTTTACCATTGTATAACTGACAATTTAAAGTTGTATGCATTTAATGTGTACAACATAATTTGATATATATGTTCATTGTGAAATGATTACCATAATCAAGCAAAATTTTCCAGTGACCTTGCATTCACTTTTATTATCTGCAGAGAAGATGCTTAAGATCGACTATCTTTGGTGGGCCTGGTGGTGTAGGGCTATAATCTCAGCTTCTTAGGAGGCTGAGGCAGGAGGACTGAAAGTTCAGGGCTTGTTTGGGTTACAGAGCAATTTCAAGGCCAACTTTGGCAACTTGTGAGGCCTGTCTCAAATTTTAAAAGGTAGAAATGGCTGTAGTTCCGTGGTAGAGTACTTGACTAGTATGTTTCATGCCTTAGGTTCTACCCCAACACTTCAAAAAAGCTGTTTAAGTGACTTCTAAATAGAGATAGTACCACACTTAGGATGTTCAAGCTAATGAATTCTTTTTGACTTTATGATGGTATAGAAGCAATACACATTTAGTAGAAATCATACTTTGAATTTTGTTTTTATTAATTAAAAAAATTTTTATATGTGTAAGTGTATTGTTTGAATGTATGTAAATGCACCTGTGTCATGCAATGCCCGAGGAGGTCAGAAAAGGGTGTTGAAGTCCCATGGAACTAAAGTTATGGAAGGCTGTGAGCCACCATGGGAATTGAACCCAGGTCCTCTGCAAGAGCAGTCAGTGCTCTTAACCACTGAGCTATCTCTCTGGCCCTATATTTTGAATTTTGATCTGGAATTGCAAAATGCAGTGAGAACCCATCTTAAGATACCAGGTAGCAGAGGCAAGGGTAGCTCAAGGTCTTGTGATCACAAGGGTAAGCCTCAGACACTCTACAGTATGCTGTGTGCCAAACTGGTGTTCAGTAGGTAAGGGGTGTTAAATGCAATTTCAACTTAGGATGTTTTCTTTCTTTCTTTCTTTCTTTCTTTCTTTCTTTCTTTCTTTCTTTCTTTCTTTCTTTCTTTCTTTCTTTCTTTCTTTCTTTCTTTCTTTCTTTCTTTCTTTCTTTCTTTCTTTCTTTCTTTCTTTCTTTCTTTCTTTTTTTTCTGAGCTAGAGTCTCATGTAGTCCAAGCTAACCTTGAACTTGTTATGCAGCCAAGGATGACCTGGTACTATACATTGTCCTGCCTCTATCTCCGAGTGCTGAGATAACAGATGTGTACAACCATGCTAAGTAGAACAGCATTGTTAACTACAGTCACCATGCTGAGAGCCCAGTACTTATAACTCCAAGTTCATTTTCTTTGACCAGCATCTCTCCATTTCTACCTTTGCTCCTGTCAAATATCTTTCTGTTCTCTGCGCTTGCATATTCAACTTTTAAAATTTAAATTGATTTCTTATTAATTTTGTTTTGAGGGTCCTGGGAGTTGAACTCAGAGCCTTGTGCATGCTAGGCAAGTGCTCTACTACTAAATTATACCTGAGTCTGGGCTCAAGATTTTTGATTCCACTTGTAAGTCAAATCATGCAGTATTTATCTCTCCTTGCCTGGCTTACTTCACATAGCTTATTTTCCGAATTTATCTATACTGTTGCAAGTACAGAATTTTTCTTCCTCTTATGGTTTAATAGCATTTATTTCTTTATATTATTTTCTTGATACACTCATCAGTGAGCAGAGCCATAGGTTGTTTCCATATCTTGGCTTACTGTGGCTAATGTCGTAATGAACACAGAGAGGTGCTGACATCTTTTGACATACTTGATTTCATTTCTTTTGCCTACATACCCAGCAGTGGGGTTCCTAGATCCTGTAGCATTACCAGTTCTATTTTTAAAAAAATTTAAGGAAACATCCATACCATTTTCTAAAACAGTATTAACTTATATAAACACCAATAGTAGATGTGTTCCTTTTTCTTCACACCCTCTTCAAAACCTGCTATCTCATGTGGGTTTTTTTTTTTCCTTAAACTTTTTCTTTAAATTTTTTTTCATTTATTATTTTAATTTTATGTGTATGAGTATATTGTCTGCATGTATGAGTGCACCTGTGTTGTGCAGTGCAATGCCATGGACCTCAGAAGAGGGGTTTGGATTCCCCTGGAACTGGAGTTAAGGATGGTTCATAGCCGCCATGTGGACACTGGGACTCAAACCCAGGTCATCTCCAAGAGCAGTCAGTGCTCTTAACCACTGAGCCATCTCTCCAGCTGGAGTTTTGGAGTGTCGTATATAAGCTAATGACGTCCCAGGGCAACGTGCAGTTGACAAATTTAGTTTTTGTTCTGATAACGAGAAACGAAGTTGAGATCAAGTCATATGCTCAAGGCTTTAGTCAATGGCAGAAACTGTGTCTGAAACCAGACTTCCCTTCATTTTTAGTGCCTTTATTTTTTTTCATAACACAAACCCTATGGAATGTGAAGGTTACAATGGGGTGTGGGATGGAGGAACCAGTCATAGGCAAGAAAAGCAAGGAATCTTGCCAAAGCAGGAAGAGCACACAAAAGAGTACTGACAGCAGCAGCTAGCTACTCAAGGCCACCCGGACTACTGGAAGAGGGGTTGCGGTACCCAGTCCCACCTTCTGCAGGGCGGAGGTCTTTTGTACCTGAATCTCCACCTTGAAGACCTTCATAGTAATTCCTGAGGGGGGGAGCCCTGGTCACTTGTGGTTTCAATCACTACATTTATCGGCATCACTGTTACCTTATTTGAAAGATGATGGAACCCTTACAATCCTGTCTTGGGCCTCTTTGAATCTGGTAGCGGCGCACAATCAAATCTTGAAAAGCTGCCTCATCTTTGGCGGGCCAGAAACAAGTAGAGGTTTCAGAAATGTACAGTAACAACCCACCCACGTTTCTTCCCTTCTTTACTAAAACAAAAGTCGAAAACTTTCCATCCTGCCTTATAATAACTGTATCATCCGTCCACACCCAGCTGCCGTTTTCTGTAGCTCGAGGGAGAAGGGAGGCAGGGATGGCTCTCAGTTCAGTCACTCCCACAATAAACAATCACTAAACAGCTTGCTGCCCTAGGCAACTACTTGTCCAGCTTGGTCGGGCTCTGAGGCTAGGGTGGAAGGTGCTCTAAGTCAGAATTCAGGCTCTGAGGCCAGCTAATGTTTGGGAGTTTACCACATCTTTGAGGTTTTGGAGGATACTTGAGAGGAACGCCTTTATCTGAACCATCTAATTAAGTTCACTCAGGATGACAGGGGCTTGGGGTAAAGGTCAACTGAAGGAAGGACCAACCATGCCGCATTCATTGTAAATACGTTTATTTTCTGTTTCAAAGGTTCCCTTTTACAGCTAGGACAGGAGACCTTTCGAGTCATCCACATCTAAGAGACTTTTTATAAATCACTACCACCACAGAAAGGATAACATCACGGACTGGGCAAAGTGAAATGACTTCTCTTCGGTCATCAGGTCCCTCCTTGGCCCAATGTCATTGAATAGATCAAGTGGAAGGGGTTCAGGAATGGAGGAATTAGGAGGCATCTTCTCGCACCACACACAGGCAGCCATCAGGAACGGTAACACTCCCTTTGGATTGTGACTATCCTTTATTCTTGGGGATTAGAGTGTCTCCGTGGGAAGACAGAGGAATGGGTGGATTACGTAGGGTAGTAAGGGAGACTGTTTCAATACTTAAAAAGATTCGGCCAGGGAGGGTCGAGGAGGTTGGGAAAGACTTCCCGGCTGGCGCTCGCGTTCCACGAAGTCCCCACCCCCTCCCTCGGGCTCTCCTGGCTTCCCCATTTTCAGGCATCCAGGAACCGGTCCTCTCTGCCTCCTGTCGGGGAGGCGTTCCCGGCAGGCAACCGAGGAGACCGGATTCTCTGGGGTGCCCGGGGCATCCCGAGCAGCAGGCGGTGCGTGGCCCGGCGGGTCCCTCCCCACTTCTCCGGCCGCGGCATCCGGGCCGTCGCCTGTGCTTCCCGGCCGGGCCCAGCTCGGGTTCCCCAGCCCGACGCGTCGAGGGGCCGCGGTGGGTGAACCTGGACTGGCCGCGCTACGCCGCGATCCAGGGTCCCCACGCCCCGCGCCCCTCCGGCGCCTCTGCCGGCGGCCGGGGGTTATGAATGGGCGCAGCGGAAGCACCGCCCCCCCCGGACGTGACGCTCGGCCAATGGCAGCGCGGGCTGCGTGGATGGATGAGGTCAGCGCTGTCGTGTCGGGAATGGAATGTGTAAGTGTAACATTCAGAACCGGGTAACATTCGGCGACCGAACGCGGCGGTCGGCAGCGGTCGCGCGGGGCCTGCGAAGCGCCGCTGGGGCCGGCACTGCCCGCGGGGAGGACGCGCC